CCCGCTAGTTTTTTTTTTTGTATTTTTTTAGTAGATGACGGGGTTACCGTACGTTACCAGGAGGGATGGTCTCGATCTCCTGACCTCGTGATCCGCCCGTCTCGGCCTCCCAAAGTGCTGGGATTACAGGCTTGAGCCACCGCGCCCGGCCTCAGCCTTGCCTATCTTAAACATGTCCAGAACAATTACATTAGCCTACAGTTGGGCAAAATCATCAATCACAAAGCCTAAACAATAAATAATAAAATAAATGTATTATTTTATAATAACATGTTGAATCTCTCATGGAAGAGTATTATACCACATATTGTTAGCCTGGGAAAAGATCAAAATTCAAGTATGGTTTCTACTGAATGCATATTGTTTTCACACCACTGTGAAGTCGAAAAATTTTAAATCAAACCATCTTAAGTCAGGGACTGTCTGTATTATTATCCCCATTTACATATGATGAAACTGAAGCTCAGAGAGATTATGTGATTTGCCTAACTAAAATGATTGAACTAATGAGTGGCAGGGCTGGCCATTTAACCCCAGACAAGGGAGCCCACATGCTTTTTTTTTTTTTTCTTTTGAGACAAAGTTTCGCTTTTGTTGCACACACTGGAGTGCAATGGCATGATCTTGGCTCACTGCAGCCTCTGCCTCCCTGCAGACTCCACCTCCCTGCAGCCTCCACCTTCCAGGTTCAAGCGATTCTCCTGCCTCAGCCTCCCAAGTAGCTGGGATTACAGGAACTCAGCCTTACGCCCGGCTAATTTTTGTATTTTTAGTAGAGACAGAGTTTCGCCATGTTGGCCAGGCTGGTCTCGAACTCCTGACCTCAGGTGATCCGCCTGCCTCAGCCTCCCAAAGTGCTGGGATTACAGACGTGAGCCACCGTGCCAGCTGGGAGCCCATACTCTTAATTGCTATTATGCTATACTGCCCCCTAGCTACCGCTTTTATCTTTGTACTCCCAGCCCTTAGCACAATACCTAACCTAGAATTAGCACTTAATATTTACTGAATAAACGAATATTCATTTCACCAGCATTTCTTTTTTTTTTTTTTTCTGAAAAAAAGAAATTACTTTATTTCTTCCTTGATGATTTAAGACTGTCTTCAAACCAGTACAAATATTTCATACATAATACCTGGCCATTTTCTAACCAACCGAGTAATCTGTTGCACAATAAGCTACCTTACATCCTTCAGCAAGGAATACATTAAATTTGAATAGGAAAGACATTACATAATGAATTAGGACACAACTAAAATTTGCTTTAAGTATTTCTTTGCGGGAGAGGACACCACACTTCTACTCAATGAAGAGAAACATTTTTCAGCCCAGAGGTCTTTTATTTTTTTTTTTAACACCTATTATGCCATGAATTCATAGGGAATAGGTTCCAGCAGCTCAGGCTCCTTCCCACTGGTTCTCACAAAGTGTGCTTCTCTGGGTGGAGCAGGCTGGCGCTTCAGTTGAACCCAGGTACCTTTCTCTTTGGCTTCTTTCTTTTTCTGATCATTTTCCTTCACGCGTTTCAGGAAGCTATCTCTGCTCTTAGAATGCTTAATGTGCTCAATACATACATTAATTCTCTTGGCAAGAATCTTGCCCTTAACTTGTTTGTTTACAACAATGCCAACAGCATGCTGGGTAACGTTGTAGACTCTCCCAGTTTTGCCATGGTAACACTTGTGGGGCATTCCTTTTTGAACGGTACCCATTCCCTTGATGTCTACGATATCACCTTTCTTATAGATTCGCATATACGTGGCCAAAGGAACAACTCCATGTTTTCTAAAAGGCCTAGAGAACATATATCGGGTGCCTCTCCTCTTTCCCTTTGTGTTCGTCATTTTGGCAAATTACTGGAAGATGGCGGTTCCGGCCGAAAGGCTTCATCAGCATTTCTAGCAAATTTCATTTTAGAAAAAGATCAAATCCAGATGAAATTTGTAGAAATAAGGGTGGTATATTTCATGGTAGCATGGAACAAGAAACCCCATTAGAAGAGTTAAGCTTGGCTATACTTAACACTGCAGAAAAAGAGATCAGATGGGGGCAGTGGACATAGTATAGGCCAAAAATTAACTGCTAAATAGTTAAAAAGGGAAATACTTAAGTACATTAAAAGAAGCTTTGTCTTTGTGTGCGTGTGTGTGCGAATATGCCTTTTTAGCATATTTTGCTTTAAGAATCATTGCAAAAAGAAACATTTCTTACTTATTTTACCATACTAAAATGGGGGCAAGTCATGGTGAATCATGAACTTAGATGAGATATAATGAAAACAGCATAAGTCAGTAAGTATTCAACATGGTTGCTAAAAGGTGGAAATGAGATCCTTTAGGAAAGGTGAAATATATAGGAATTATAAGTAAGTTTCCTTTAAGTAGTAAAGCAACTCTTCTTCATTTTCACTAAAATAGAATATGAGATGACATATTTCAGCAGTCCGTGTGGTGTGTTAGCAAAAGGAGGGATTCCAAAGTCACGAATTGATGCTCAAGTCTTCATATTGCCATTCACCAGCAGAGTGACCTCGGTGTCCCTTGCCTATAAATTGAGGAGGAAAATCTCCAACTCCTAGATTACAGGGATTTATTGATATAAAATATTATTTCCTTTTTCTGTTTCCTGTTTCTGACAGAAGTCATTGTTCCCTCCTCTGAACTTCTACAGACATCAACATTTTGCCAGTCTTGTTTCATCTATCTCTTGCACTTTTTGTTTTTTTTTTTTTTGATATAGGATCTCTGTTGCCCAGGCTGGAGTGCAGTGGCATGATCAGGCCCACTGCAGCCTCAACCTCTGGGTTCAAGTGATCCTTCCACGTAGTAGCTGGGAGAACAGGTGTGTGCTACCACATCCAGCTAATTTTTGTATTTTTTGTAGAGATGGGGTTTTTCCATGTTGCCCAGGCTGGTCAAGAACTCCTGGGCTCAAGCAATCCATCTGCTTCAGCCTTCCAAAGTGCTGGGACTACAGGCATGAGCCACTGTGCCTGGCCCTCAAATTCTAATTATGCCAACACTGTCATACTCCAGAATTAGATGCCTGTTATGTTTGCAGTATTGTCACTTTTTGAGTGAATAGTAGAAACAACAGGTTGAATCTCTTCCTAGTTTCGAAGAACTGATCCACAGATCTGAGCAGTCCTAATTAGTTCTCAGGACTCTCTTCAATGCTTGCATCAAGGACATTCCACAGATGGTTTTTCAATTACTTTCCAGTAAGCTTTGGAAATGTCTGGAAAGTGCTAGGACTTAGGACTTTGCACCTATGTTTGTCTAATTGTTTAAAAATTTTTTTTGTTGTTGTTATTGTTGTTGAGACAAGGTACTTTCTCTGTTACAGCTCAGGCTGGAGTGCAGTGGCACGAACACAGACCACTGCAGCCTCAAACTCCCAGGTTCAAGTGATCCTCCCACCTCAGCCTCCCAAGCAGCTGGAATACAGAGTTTCATTTCACCATGTTGCCCAGGTTGGTCTTGAACTCCTGGGCTCAAGTGATTCACCCGCCTCTGCCTCCCAAAGGCTGGGATTACAGGTGTGAGCCACGGTGCCCAAACTGTTTACCTAAATTTAACCTTCACCTACATGTTCTCTTAATCTGGTCCCATTAAAAACTTAGTACCCAGTGCACTTCAAGCTAGATTTCTCATTGCCAAGTCCTTTGGGCTTTTCAGTGTCTTCCATTCTTTGTGATTCCTGAGAGAGGACTGAGTTCCTTTACTGAATACTGACCATGCTCCAGGGCCTGCAGATCCTAATGTTCAAGATATTTTTCTTTTATGTGACATTTCAAATAAATTAGGTACACATAACGTTTTATATAAAAATTAGCTACTAATAATCCCTTAATCCAAGTTAGCAATATGTCACAACACAGGAAAAGCCTTTGTGGGGAGTTAGGGGACTTTGGTTATGGTTCTAGATTATTCCACAGCATTAATTTGACAAAATTTTACTTATTTAGTGCCTAGAGGCTGCCACATGCAGTGATGGGTTACTAGGTATAGAAGCAAATGAGCATGGTCCTTCTCTCAAAAACATGTACTGGCTGGGCGCGGTAGCTCATGCCTGTAATCCCAGCACTTTGGGAGGCCCAGGTGGGCAGATCACCTGAGTTCAGGAGTTCAAGACCAACCTGGCCAACATGGTGAAACCCCATCTCTACTAAAAATACAAAAAAAATTTAGCCGGGCATGGTCGCAGGTGCCTGTAATCCCAGCTACTTGGGAGGCTGAGGTAGGAGAATCACTTGAACCTGGGAGGCGGAGGTTGCAGTGAGCCAAGATCGCACCATTGCACTCCAGTTTAGGGCACAAGAGCGAGACTTCGTCTCAAAAAAAAACCAACCAACCAACCAACCAAACAAACAAACAAAAAAAACTGGGACTGTGCTGGGCATGGTAGTTCACACCTATAATTCCAACACTTTGGGAAGTTGAGGCAGGAGGATTGTTTGAGGCCAGGATTTCGAGACCAGCCTGGGCAACACAATGAGACCTTGCCTCCATTAAAAATAATAATAATAATAATACAAGAAAAGAAAAACAGGAACTATATCTTAACATTCTTTGTAAGTCCCCCAGCTTCTGGGGCATGACATGGTCCATGGCACTTATAAAGGGTTGTCTGAGCCCACAGATCAAGACTGACTGAGTTTCAAATTCTGTATTTTTATTTTATTTTATTTTATTTTATTTTATTTTATTTTATTTTATTTTATTTTAGAGGCACTGTCTCACTATGTTGCTCAAGGTAGGGTCTCTCTTTCTCTCTCTTTTTTTTTTTTTGAGATGGAGTCTCGCTGTGTTGCCCAGGCTGGAGTGCAGTGGGCCCGATCTCGGCTTATTGTAACCTCCACCTTCCTGGTTTAAGCAATTCCCCTGCCTCAGCCTCCAGAGTAGCTGGGATTACAGGCGCATGCCGCACATGCCACCACGCCCGGCAAATTTTTCGTATTTTTAGTAGAGACAGGGTTTCACCATGTTGGCCAGACTGGTCTCGAACTCCTGACCTCAGGCAACCCGCCCGCCTCAGCCTTCCAAAGTGCTGGGATTACAGGTGTGAGTCACAGTGCCCGGCACTTTTTTTTTTTTTTTTGAGACAGTCTTGCTTTGTTGCCCAGGCTGGAGTGCAGTGGCACGATCTCGGCTCACCGTAACCTCTGCCTCCTGGGTTTAAACAATTCTCCTGCCTCAGCCTCCTGAGTAGCTGGGATTACAGGCATGTACCACCATGACCAGCTAATTTTTGTATTTTTAGTCAAGATGGGGTTTCACCATGTTTGCCAGACTGGTCTCCATCTCCTGACCTCAGGTGATTCACCCGCCTCGGCCTCCCAAAGTGCTGGGATTACAGGTGTGAGCCACCGCTCCCAGCGGGTCTCTAACTCTTAGCCTCAAGCAATCCTCATGCCTTGGTCTCCCAAAGCTCCAGGATTACAGGTGTGAGCCACCATGCCCTGCCTCAAATACCTCAAATACTGTATTTTAAAGCCTTTCACTATACTACACCAATCATCCCATTCTCTATATCTTCTCGTAATCCCCAAGCAATCTTTCTACCTGAAGATGACACCAGAAATTTGGGTCACTAAAGAGAAAGATTCAGAAAGTATTTGCATTAGTCAGTATAGGCTGTTATGCTATGGTATCAACCCACAAATCTCAGTGGCCTAATCAGCAAAGGTTATTTTTCTCGCTTATGTTGTGTCCTTCCCAGGTCAGCTGTGGCTCTGCTGCACATTGTCTTCACTCTGGGACTGAGGCTGATGGATTAGCCTCTATCCAGAATGTTGCTGGTCATGAGGAGAGCAGGCAAGGAAAACATGGTGCAGCACATTGACTGAGAGCTTCCGGCTGGAAGTGGCTCATACTGCCACTCACATTTCATTACCTAATGCAAGTCACACAGCCAAGCCTGCTGTCAATAGGAAATTACAATCCAATTCTGGGAGGCACAATAAGTGTTTGGGAACAATTATATAGTCTTCCACAGGGTCTCTTTACCCTTCATTTGTGATACTTGGATGTAAATACACCTTTTCAGAGTGCCTCACACAGTACCTTAAATACTGTATTTTACATTGGTGCAAACAATCCGGATTTTTATTTTTATTTAGAGGCACTGTCTCACTATGTTGCTCAAGGTAGGGTCGCTCTCTTTTTTTTTTTTTTTTTTGAGATGAAGTCTCGCTGTGTCGCCCAGGCTGGAGTGCAGTGGCCCGATCTCGGCTCACTGCAACCTCCACCTCCCTGGTTTAAGCAATTCTCCTGCCTCAGCCTCCAGAGTAGCTGGGATTACAGGCGCATGCCACCACCCCCGGCAAATTTTTGAAATTTAGGAAACTGGCAAATTTAGGAAATTACAATCCAATTCTGGGAGGCACAACAAGTGTTTGGGAACAATTATATAGTCTTCCACAGGGTCTCTTTACCCTTTATTTGTGATACTTGGATATAAATACACCTTCTCACAGTGCCTCACCCAGTACCTTAAGTACTGTATCTCACATTAGTGTAAACAATCTGGCTGGTTTAGAGTCTTTGAAGGCAGAAGAGAGGGCTTAGGATCAGACAATTCTGGCTTCAAATTCCACCTCTGACACTTAAACTACTGAGTCTCTGTTTCCTCTTCATTTACATGATGACCACCTTGTAGTTTTACTGTAAAGATTTAAAAAAACCAAACAGACGCAAAGGGCCTATTGTGTTGCTACTCACACAAAGAACACTAAATGTTAACTATTCCCCCACCCCCAAACTCCATCCAGCACTGGGGTTTCTTGATGGTTCTTATTTAGCTCATTAGGCATGAAGTAAGCCAGTATCTTTACAACTTTAAACACTTGTTTCTTACTACCGAATTTGTACCAGAGTTTCAGGTTCCTTGGGGCTGCAAACCTTGGCTACTTTTTCCTGCTAACCAGGTTCCTTTCTATCGACCCAAAATATATTGCTAACTAACTGGCAGAGAGATTTCCCTTGATCCTACTCTGTTTGAACATCCTCTGACTCACCCTTCCTAGTGCCACCCAAGTTTCATCTGCACCATTGCTTACACATAATACAAGTACTTTATTTACTCTACGCATTTGTTAATGTTTGCTCAGCTGTCTTGGTGCCTTTGTGTCTTTCACTGTGCTTTTAATTAGCTTGGCTGATTCTAAGAGTGGAGGTAAACCAAGGTTTAAACCAGGTGGTTACAAGGAACATGGAGATGGGTTGCAGGTGGGGGATGGCAGATTGCTATGAATGCACTAGTGCAAATTCATTGACAGCCTAGGAAAAAAAATGTATTTTAGGCTAATGCCTTCTACCGGGAAAAAATAATCTAAGCTACTCCTTTCTACTAATAATGATTAAGTAGTGGAGTCTTTGGGAAGGATCACATTTTGCCTTACTGATACAATCCGAAGTCAACACCAAGCTACCAGAGGACAGGAACTCAATGATGGTTTACATAGAGTGATGTGGTCTAGCTGCATGAGTTAGTTATTCCCATCAGGCACTAATATTTAATGACTACTTATAAGACTATCACTTCTGTGGCCTCTACTTTTATCTACCCAACCTCTGACTTTGCACAAGTTGTTCTCTGCCCGTAATTGTTTTTCTCTACTCCCAGTCTTGCTTCTGTCTCTGCATGGCAAATTCCTACTCGTTTATTAAAATTTAGCCTTAACTTTACCTTTTAAGGGTGAAGCTTTGTTTGGCCCCAGTGACTGTGCCTCACCCTCCACCTCATCCAATTTGACAGAATTAAGCCTTGCTTCTTTTCTGTTTCCATGGCACAAGTATAAATTTCTACCAAACTGCATTGGGATTAACTGTTTACATGTCTGCTTCTCTTTTATTCTCTTTTGACTCCTTGGTATTTAGTACAACACCTGGTATAGAGTAGGCGCTTGCTAAATGATTATTGAATGCTATGTAAGTGTGCATAGTGACCAACGCCCAAGCATTTTCCTTAAACAGCAGTCAGTAGTGCCGAGACTTTTCAAATGGCCTATGTATAGCCTTTCAAAAAACCTAATTCAAGAATTATAAAATATTACATAGAGATACCCAGGGAATCTGGAAGGCTTTTCCCGGGCTAGGAATAATAGGAGGGGCTCTCTCGTGTTTTTCTCTCCCTCTTGCAAGTCTTGGCTCATTTTAAATTCATTTCTCATTTTCTAATTTCCTCTTACAATAAATACAGAGGGAGAAAAGGATCAGGTAAAGGCTCATTTATCTAAGTGTCTGGGTCATGTGAAGTGACCAGGGTCATGTGAACACTCTGCTGTTGAAGCACTGCCAGTGTCCAATCAAGGTTTTTGTAGGGCTATTGCAGCCCAGCTCTGGGCTGTGTTCCTTTCAGAAAATTCAGAATTCAGATGAAGCTAGGAAAAGATTGCAAACAATACAAAACAATAAAACCACTACTTTATTCCCCTGGGCAATCTGTGTCTTTTAAGGGTCTGTCCCTTGAGCTGGATAATATCTCCTCTTTGAAGGCTCTCCTGCTCTGCACCCTCCCTTCTATTCCACTCCCATCTAGCAAGACAGTGAACTACTATACTCTTTTCTGTGCTGACACTGGGATCTTATGAATAATAATAACAGCTGTCTCGGGGACCTTTATTTTTGGCAGCCTGTGCATGGTCTCTTTTGCTAGGTAGCTATGATTATTGTTTCCTTATTATAGGCAGGGAAACAGAGGCTAAGAGAAACCAAATAACTGGATGTAGGCACAAAGTAAGCAAGCTATGGAATATTAGACTTGAATCTAGGTCTGCCTTCTCAATCTAGGCTTTAAGCTTTTCTTCCTCACAATGTTCCAGAATTCCCCGGGCTGCTATAACCATTCTAGTTTTTTTTATTTTTCTTAGAGTCAGGGTGTCACTTTGTTGCCCAGGTTGGTCTCCACCTCATGAGCTAAAGTGATCCTCCCACATTGGCCTCCCAAAGTGCTGGGATTACAGGCATTAGCCACCGTGCCCAGCCTGCTTTATTCTTTTTTTTTTTTTTGAGGAGGGATACTCCTCCACCCTTTTTTTAATCTTAAAAAAATTTAGGCCGGGCACGGTGGCTCACGCCTGTAATCCCAGCACTTTGGGAGGCCAAGACAGGCGGATCACGAGGTCAGGAGATCGAGATCATCCTGGCTAACATGGTGAAACCCTGTCTCTACTGAAAATACAAAAAAAATTAGCCGGGCTTAGTGGTGAGCACCTGTAGTCTCAGCTACTCGGGAGGCCGAGGCAGGAGAATGGCATGAACCTGGGAGGCGGAGCTTGCAGTGAGCCGAGATCGCGCCACTGCACTCCAGCCTGGGCGACTGAGCGAGACTCCATCTCAAAAAAAAAAAAAAATAAATAAACACATGTTGTTGTACATATTTAAAGTATACCACATGATGTTATGGGATAGTCAAAAGGTCACTATAGTGAAGCAAATTAACAGAGCCATCATCTCACACAGTTATCCTTTTTTTTTTATTGTGGTAAGAGAAGCTAAAATCTACTCATTTAGCATGAATCCCATATGTAATAGATTTTATTGCCCCTCCACCTTTTAACACCCTGGGACTCATACTTCTTTCCTTCCCAAAGGCTGCTGATCCCCATCTTCCCACCTCATTCTGGCAGCTAACCACCTCTGTTCTCTCTCCAGCACTATCCCCCTATTAGCTCAGGATGGGCACTTTAGGGAAGAACCTCAGAATCCCAGACAAGTGAGAGGAGCAGAGCTGGCCAACACTTGTAAGAGATGGTGCTAAACAGGAGTTCAACACAAGTCTGAGCAACATAGTGAGATCCCATTTCTATAAAGTTAAAAAATTTTTATAAAGAAAAAAATAAACAAAAGCTCCAGACTTGGAGCTAAGTCTACTCTCTCTCTTTTTTTAAAGACAGCGTCTCGCTCTGTTACCTAGGCTGGAGTGCAGTGGCGCAATCACAACTCACTGCAGCCTTGACCTCTTGGGCCCAAGGGATCCTCCCATCTCAGCCTCCCACATAGCTGGGACCATGGGTGCACACCACCCTGCTGGCTAATTTTTTTTATTTTTGTAGAGACAGAGTCTCCCCATGTTGCCTAGGCTGTTCTTGAACTCTTGTGCTCAAGCAGTCCTCCCGCCTCTGCCTCCCAAAGTGTTGGGAGACTGTAGACAGGCTTACTGTTTAGAGATGGGGGCTTGCTGTGTTGCCCAGGCTGCACTTAAACTCCTGGGCTCAAGTGCTCCTATCCTCCTGCCTCAGCCTTCTTAATAACTGGGATTACAGTCAAATGCCACTGTGCCCGGCTGAGACGGCATCTTATCCATCTTATTCATTGCTACCATCTGGTTCAAGCCATCATTCTGTACCTGGGTAATGGAGCCTCTGGCTTCCACCATTGTCCTCTTAGGTCTGCTCTTAGCACTGCGGCCACAGTGATCTGAGCAGAGTGATGTCTTGAAAGCGCAAGTCAGATCCTATCACTCCTCTGTTCAAAGCCCAGCAGTGGTTCTGTTTCAGCCAAGATTCTTACAGCTCCCTACTTGAGATCCCTCTCTGATCTTATCTCCTCATTCCGCTCCCATTTGCTCACTGCTCTAACCGTCCTGGCCTCCTCATTCTTTCTAACACTTCCCGAGGCTTTTGTCTCAGGGCCTTTCACCAAGGACACTCTTCCCCAGTCAACTGCATGGCTGACTCCCTCAGCTCTTTCAGGTCTCCGATTTAAAGTCATTTTATAAATGAGGCCCATGCTGACGGCTCTATTCAAAATTGCAGGCCAAGCGCGGTGGCTCACGCTTGTAATCCCAGCACTTTGGGAGGCCGAGGAGGGCGGATCACTTAAGTTCGGGAGTTCCGCGACCAGCCTGGCCAACATGTTGAAACCCCACCTCTACTAAAAATACAAAAATTAGCTGGGCGTGGTAGCGCGCGTCTGTGATCCAGCTACTAAGGAGGCTGAGGCAGGAGAATCACTTGAACCCGGGGTTTGCAGTGAGCCGAGATCGTGCCACTGCCCTCCAGCCTGGGCGAGGGAGCAGGATTCCCTCTGAAAAAAAGAAAAAAAAAATTGCACACCCCCTTCCTCCAGTTTTCTTCATACCCCTTATCCTGGTGTATTTTTTTTTTCCCCATAGCACCCAATGCCTTCTAACATATTACATAATTTTCTTACGTTTCATCATCTTTCTCCCTATATTAGAATGAAAGCTCCAAGAGGGAAGGGTACTTGTTTTCTCTCTCTCTTCTGTTTACTGATACATCCCAAGCACTAAAATGGTGTCTGGTAACCTTAGTAGTGATTGGCAAATATTTGTTGAGTAAATGAGTACATGAACCTTCAGAATCTTGCTAGTCTTATAAACAAAAGGAATATGTGAGTACTTTGAATCTCCAGTGCCTAGAAATGCTTGACCAAATGGCAAGTGTTCAATATTTACTGAAGGAATTGTGTGCTCAGATCTGCTGGAGTTTATCTGAACCCTTTGAGGCTATGTCAAAAAGTACCCAGGGCCAATTCACTCATGCCTCTCCTTTTCCTCTCATCCAATCAGCCCAGTATTCATCTAACAAATATCTAAGTCTCCAAATATTGAGCCACCCAATGTGAGTTCAAAAGCGTGTTTGGTGCTGCAGGGGAATATATGACTAACGCGAATGAAGCAACAGCAAATACTACACGGGAATGTAATTAAGTGTGAAATTATAGGGCAGACTATCAGTGCTAATAGTTTAGAGAAAAAATCAGTGAAGACTGACGTAGAAGTAAATTCCAAAGTTCACTAGTCGACCAAACTACCCTTCTAAACGCTCCACCTACTACTGATAGTAGGACCATAACCTGGGTAGCTACCTTGAGAGTCAGAAGGGCCTTTAGAGTTCCAACTCCTTTAAGAAAGAAAGTAAGACCAGGCACGGGAAAGGCCTCCGCAGACATGAGTCTAGCACCTGGGGCTCAAGAAGTTCTGAAAGGAGGGGTGTCCTGAAGGTCCAAGGAGCCTTTGTTGGGGGTCCCGGAATCCACGGTGTGCCAGAAAAGGGGTCCGGTTTCCTGGAGAGGAGGCTAAGGTGCCGGGCGCTTCGGTGAGGTGGCGGAGGTTGGGGGGCGGGGGAGGACAGGTGGCACCATTTCTTCGGGGCATGGGGCCCCAAGTCTCCGCGGGCAGGGTCCAAAGCCACCGATCCCTACTGTCCTCAACTGCGGGGTTGCTTCCGCTGCCCTTGCTCCCCAGACGCCACTCCAAGGCACAAGGACCCCAAGTCGCTTGGAACTGCAGGCCGCCAGATGACACCCGCGGAGCCGAGGCCCCGGCAGTCTCAGGGCACTACTTGTCCCAGCGGAGGGATCCCGCGTGCGTCGACACGGCCGAGGACGCGCAGGGACTTGACGCCGCCGACGCCGGGCCGGCGGCGCTGCGACGTCGCAGGAGGAGGTGGCGCAAGGGCGGGAGGGGGATGTGGGTCGGGAAGTAGTTCCGGGTGCGCGGCCCCGGATGTTGGCTGCTCCTGCTGCCGCCGCCGCTCTCGGCGCTGCTCGGGGCCTCGGCCGCTCGCACTAGGCACCGTTGGGACCTTTCCCGGGGGGCGGAGACGCACGCAGCGGCCGGGGGCTCGGCCGGGCCGTCCCGGCCTGCGCAGCCTGAGGTAAGTGCCCGCCGCCGGGGCGGCCGGGCCTGGGCGGCGGGCGAGGAGGCGGGGCTGGGGCATCTCCCAGATCGGAGGCAGGGGCTGCCCTCTGCGAGACGCCCTCTCTCTTATAGTCGCAGCCGCGCTGTGGGGTGGGCGGCGGGCGGGGCAGGGGGCCTGGGCCCGGGCTGGGGCCCGGCGGGCGCTGAGGGCTGGGTCCCTCCCTCCCCCGCGGCGCTTCTCTTCAGCTGCTGCTGCCCCTCAGCCGGGAAGCAGCGGCTCCGCGTTTCCCGCCCCTCCCCCAGGCGGGGCCCCGGGGAACCGGCCGTGGATCCCGGGGGCGCCTAGTCCCAGGGCAGCTACCGTCTCCTTCCATCCATGACATGTCCCCTGGCCGGGGCTAGCCCCCGGCCCCGGCAGTCTGCGGCTTCTTCCCTTCAAGCTTGGGGGCGCTTTTCTGCCGGCCGGGCGGGCTGTAACTCACGCCTCGGGGTGGCCCTTTGGGGTGAGGAGGCCTTTGCGAGGGTGCCTGCGTTCCCGCCCATCCTGTGTCTGTGTCCTTTGCTGGGATTAGGGCAAAGGCAGACGTTCCATGCGGACGTGTTGCTGTCCTGTGTGTGTTGCATCCTGCCCACGTGGTAGAATGTCTCCCGCCCCCCCTCCCAGCTCCATTTTTGCAGCTGGTGAGGAGGGAGGTTAACGGGATGGTTTTTCCTCTGTGATTTCCTCCCGGTGGCATGGAAGGTGTTAGGATCAGTTTGCTTTGCCGAGGCCGACTGTTGGTTAGATGAAGAATCAAGAGTTGTACTCTGAAATTGAGGCCAGTAGGGGACATAACAGGGCTTAGTTTCATTAACATCTTTTCTCCTCTTCCATTAGCTGCTCTTATTCTTTCCTCTGTTGGTTAATCATAGAGAATAAGCGCTTGCTACGGATGAATTCAGGTATATAGTTTTCATTTCTCGATTTTACCTTTTGTGTGTCTGGTGAGCAAAGGTTTTACTATTCCGTGTTGGTGCATTCCACGTTTGTGTTGTCCCTAGTTGGATTCCTGAGTGAGTTAGAGCCATTCACTCTAATTCCTGAAGGAGTTAGAGATTGGTGGGCACCTTTTTGGCCTTTTTTTGAGATTTATTTGTGTTTGTTTTCCTCCGTTTTGTTTCCCAGTGAAAAAGCGTGATGTCATAGGAGGGTTATATGCATAGCTCTTTTTCTCACAAGGCAGCACTAGTTTCACCTAGTCACTTATTTTGTAGAAGCTCTTTTACTTCACTTTTCCCCTTACTCTGTTGAGTACCCATTGCACTCTCTTTTTTGAAACTGGTTTGAAACATGTTTTGAGTAGTTTTTTTCTTAAGGTCTCTTCCAGATTAGGGTTTTCATCTTCTGTTTGGCTCTTTTGAGACCACAGATTGTTCCCGCAGTAACAGTGAGAGAAACCTATTCCCCCTGGTCCCTAGCAAGTATTTATAGAAAAGCAGTAACTCCTCTCTCTTTTTCTGAGTGACATATATTATGTAGATGTGATTAAATGTTTTAGTTTCTTAAATAGGAGGATTTCTCTTTTTGCTTTTGTGTCTCAGAATTGAGGTGAATCTTCTTGATTTTGTGCTGCTGAGGACGAAGCTGGGAAGTTTCTCATGCTTTCATTAGATTTTTTTTGGATGAGGCTAGAACTTGTTTATTTTGGCTCTTTTTTGTTCATTAGTTTGGATAAAATAGAAAATCTTAATGTTTCGAAGTCACTTACTAGATTCCAAAGTGTCCTGAATTCTCACTTTGCTTTTCACATTGTACATTCTTTGAGTATATTTTTGACTTTTTGTCCCTTTTATCTGGTACAGTTCGTATATTCCCTTTCGTTCTATGTAGAATGAAAATATTTAAATATAGATTTTAGATTCTGTCTGCTTTCATTATGCTAAGTATGGGTGGGGCAGTGGGAAATAGAGAATGTTGTTCTGATACATACAGAGGCTTTTTTTTTTGGTAAGTCAGCATTTGTGTACTTCTGTAAAGTTCCGTGTTATCTATGTGTGAAGTAGTCTGTATGAAGAGACAAATAAGATATGCGGTCTCTTGGAAAGCTTCAACTTATGTCGAAAGAACGGAGTTGTTTTTTTCGGTTGGGGAAACATGTACATCATTCAGAATTACCAAACTGCATTGAACTTTGCATTGGACTTCTCCTTGGGATAACAGTACAACCAAAGTCAAAAGTGTAAGTGACGTTTGAGAAAGATACAAATTTCCAAAGGGGAGGAGATGTATTTCAGGAGAACGAAGGGGCCTGTGCAAAGTGAGAGAAGTGGCAGTGTACAAATGATATCAAGGAACTTGACTGTCAGATCATCTGTGTTGGTGAATAATAATAAATGAGTTTAGGATTGATGAGGGGGGTATTGGTGGAGGATCTTTCAAGGATAGAGGGTTTAGTTTGATAGGGTACCACAATGGATTCTAAAGAATGAGAGTAAGATGATGCATCTTGTTCCTGAGGAAGGTTTTTGTATCAGTTGAGTGTCCTGAGAGTGGAGAGACTGATTAGAATGCTCATGGAGAATTTTAGGAATAAGATGATGAGGGTGTGTTATAAGATAGTGGTTGTAGGAAAAAAATAATAGCTAACGTTTACTTACTGTATGGCAGATGTAGTTCTAAGCGCCTTAAATGTGTTTAATTCATTAAATCTTCATAATAAGGTATTAAAATCAGAAGGGACTTTGGGCAACTTACTTAACTTTATGCATGTAATTATTTCCATATACAATGAACAATTAGATGAAAGGTAGATTTTGCATTGACCAGGGATATAGATGGTGGTAAAACACATCAGTAGATGTGTGTTGGGAGGATAGTAGTATAATGAAAAAAGAGCTTTGAGGTTTGGAATTTTGGGTCCTGTAATAGGCTGATAGCATTCTGAGAAGAACCAGAAAGTGCATCAGTTTCACAGAAGCCAAGGAAGATTTTCTACAAGGGCGGGGTTTGACAGTTTCAAATGCAGAGTAGAAGTTCAGAAGCAGTGGCTATAATGAAAAGACAATTGAATGAAACCAGAGGAGATAATTTGTAACCTTAGAGAGAAATTTGAAAGGAAGGGTAAGAATAGATGCCAGATATGTTTTTCACAGGATTTGTAGAGACAGGATCTGGTATGGTAATTCTTAGTATTTCCTTTTAAAAAGAAACAAACTTATGTTCCAAAGCTGGTGATTCTATACTTTAAAGCTTCTCTCCTTCAACTTTTATAAACTCTTAAAAAAAAAAAAAAAGCTGTCTTGAAATATAATTCACGTACCATTTCATTCACACATTTAAAGTATACAAGTCAGCGGTTTTTAGTGTATTCACAAAGTTGTGCAACCATCACCACAGTCATTTTTAGGATAGCATTTCAAAAAGGAGCCTTGTACGTATCAGCAGTCACTCCCCATACCCCCACCTCCAGGCAGCCACTAATGTACCTAACATCTTGTAGAGATGTTGATAATTCCAAATGCCTGTCCAAATGCCTGTTGTGGTCATTTCATACAGCATATGGTCTTTTATGTCTGACTTCTTTCACTTAGCATATGTTTCAAGGCTCATCCATGTAGCATGTATCAGTATTTCATTCCTTTTTATTGCCAAATATTATTCCACTGTATGGATATACTATATTGATATCCATTGCTTTAGTTGATGGGCATTTGAGTTTCTTATTCTTTTATTATTATTATTATTATTATTTTAGATGGAGTTTCTCTCTGTGTCGCGCAGACTGGAGTGCAGTGGCGCCATCTTGGCTCCTGCAATCTCTGCCTCTCAGGTTCAAGCAATTCTCCTACCTCACCCTCCCCGGTAGCTGGGATTACAGGCATGCACCACCATCCCTGGCTAATTTCTGCATTTTTAGTAGAGATGAGGTTTCACCATGTTGGCCAGGCCGGTCTTGAACTCCTGACCTCAAGTGGTCTGCCTGCCTCGGCCTCCCAAAGTGCTGGGACTACAGGTGTGAGCCACCACGCCTGGCCAAGTTTGTTAATTCTTTCAAACTCCTCCCCATTTTCATTGAATCTTCGCCCTGCCAACCACTCCCATGGCCTTCTTTTAGATTATAACCTCTGCCATGCATTTTGCTAGGTATCGGGGATATAAACATGAATAAGACGTGGCCCTTGAACATTCATATAGTGTTTTATTGGTTTATATACATTTTCTCATACATTCTCTCATTTGATCTCAACAACCCTGTGATAAAGTCAGAACATCTTAAGATGAGCAATTTGAAGTTTAGGTGACCTGCTTAGGGTTGTACACCTAAGTAATTGGTGGAGCAAGTGGGTCTTCTTAGTTCATATCTGTGCTGTTTCCACTACTCTATGCTGCTGTTTTAACTTAAAGCATCCTCATGTAATCTCCTGGAGACTTAGAGGGACTGGAAAATGTATTTACTCAAAGAATCACTTTTTTTTTTTTTTTTTTGAGACAGGGTCTCACTCTTGCCTAGGCTGGAGGGCAGTGGCGTGATCATGGCTCATTGTAGCCTCAACCTCCTGGGCCCCAGTGATCCTCACACCTCAGCCCCCCCAAGTAGCTGGGACTACAGATGTGCACCACTATGCTTAGCTAATTTTTGTATTTTTTGTAAAGAAGTGGTTTCGCTATGTTGCCCAGGCTGGTCGCGAACTCCTGGACTCAAGTGATCTGCTAACCCTGGCCTCCCAAAATGCTAGGATTACAGGCGTGAGCCACTGTACTCAGCCCACTGATTTTCTTCCGGACTTAAAATGAAGATTTTTTTCCCCTGGATTCTGCCGCTTATTTGTTCTGCTTTTTAGACAAATCATTTCATATTTCTTTTCATTCAGAACTTTCATGGAGTTCATGTGATGATAATGATAATAATAGCTAACATTTTTTGAGACCTTACTATAGGCCTAAAAGTGTTCTAAGTACTCTACATTCATTATCCATGTCTTAAAACCCTTAATATTTAATAAATTTTATGAATATATTTTATAAATATATTGTAG